AAAGTGAGGGTATGGAACTTGATGACACTAACTCTTCTCTCCAGGGAGTTAAGGTTCTATTCAGGCTTCTCAAAGTATATGTGTGGGTACTATAACTACTGGGGGAGTGTGGGAATGTAGGAAATGTTTGCAATTGTGATAATCATTGGGGTTACTTTCTTTATTTGGTGTTCAAAACTAAGAATGACAAACACCATATAGTGGAAGGGAAGTTTTTTCAAAAGAAAGAATTGTCTGAAAAAAATGCCAGTAGTGTTCCATTGAGAAACACCATGAGACACAAGAGCAGCTGGCTGCCAGCTAGTTTCTTTTGCTGTGTCCTTGCCCTTCCTGGCAGGGGTGAGCAACCTGACAGATTTCCCCCAGTTAACCTTGGCTGCAGAAAGACGCAACTGCTTCTGTTCTGTACCTCACAGGGAGCTAGAAATGAGCCCCTCTGTCTTCCAGACTTGCCAGGCTGTCCTTCTCTTCTTTCTCCAACAAGCAATGACTGTGTACAGCACATTTGCATAGTTTCATGTCACTTTTCCTATTCTTCTATATGTGTTCATTCCATTGTATCTACTTTCTTCGCATCAAACATTATGCAGCACTGACATCATTCCCCATGGCTGAAATGGAGATGGCTGTGTAAAACAGGTGAGCTCTTCAGCCTTGGAGCCCAGGGGATATTGACAAGGGTTGAGATTAAGGAAGACTCTAAGCAGGACAAGGTCTTTGGCATAATGATTTTACATTTGTTCAGCATACCTGAGGGAATAGAACTTCAGATTTGGTAAGATGGCAAGGCAAAGAGCAGAAGATTAAGAGCTACTAATTGGGTCTTGTCTCTGTTGCACTTTGATTAGCTTTCTAACTTGTTATCGACTGAAATGTAATTTGGAGATTCCCCATTTCATCCTAAAATATGTGCTTTGTTATATAAAAGTCTGCTATTGGCTTGATTCAAGTGTTCCTTAGAGACATATATTTTTTTAATCCCAACAGGCCATTTCAAGAGCAATTAATTATTCTGGAATAAATGTACACAAATCTCTATATAGTACAACCAGAGATCACCAGGAGTGCAAGAAGCAGCGACCACCTATTGTGCACTTTGCTCCTCTGTAAAAGCCCACCTCCATACTTTACAACATTTATTGTATTTAATTGAGTGGCAGTAACAGAAAAACAAAGAGGAGAGAGAGAGAATACGAGCACCACAGAGACTTCCCGTATACTGCTGTACCCTATATGCCCACAACACCTGGGGCCAGCTCAGGTGAAGCAGGGGACTGGGAGCTCAATCCAGGTTTCCCATATGGCTATCAGGAACCCAATTACTTGAGCTATTATTGCTACCTCCCACAGTGCACATTAGCAGGAAGCTAGAGTCAGGAGCAGCGCCAGGGCAAGAGTAGATTAGCCCGGTCACTCTCTTATACAGGATGTGCCTCTCTTAAGTGGTGACTCAACTGTTGGGTCACTTGGCTGCTTCTCTCTTTGTTATTTTCTCTAATTTTGAAGCCCATCTCTGGCTTCCCTAGCTTTCTATTTCTTTTCAAATCTAGGCCTGGTCCATTTGGCCACTGGGGATCTGTGCTGTGTCTATCTGTGTAGTTATTTCCTTTAAATCTTTCCCATCTACCCCCTTTTAGTGTAGTTACACTGAACTGAGCTGCCATTTTTCCAAATAAGTTTCATCTTTCAAAAGTTCAGTTCTCTTTTTCTGTCTAAATTGCTCTCTCATTCCCCATTCTGCTTAGCCAAGCTCCTCCAATCCTTCAAAACTCAGTTTAGGAATCATCTTCACAGAAAACCTTACTTTCTGTCCCTAAATCTATCTGTATAACAATCCTTCAGCTGTTGTCTGACAGAATCACCCCAGAAACCTTACTGAAAATGCAGATTCTCGCATATAACACAGACATACTGAAAGGGAGCTCTGGGTTGGGTCCCAGGAATCCACATTTTCTATGTAGTATGTGCTAGTTAGGACGTTGTAGATGGGTTTTTTGGTATGCTTGTCTGTCTTTAGTTTATTTGTCTAAAGACATTTCTAGAGATTTGTAAAAATACATTTTATTTATTTATTTGAAAGGCAGGGAGACAGATACACACACATACACACATACACACATACACACACACACACACACACACACAGAGAGAGAGAGAGAGAGAGAGAGAGAGAGAGAGATACAGAGAGATCTTCCATCTACTATTTCACTCCTCAAATACCCCTAATAGCTAGGGCTGGATCAGGCTGAAGCTAGGAGCATGAAACTCAATCTTGGTCTCCCATGTGGATGGCAGGGTTCCAAGTACTTGAGCCATCACTCTGCCTTCCAAAGTGCCCATAGTAGGAAGTTAGATCAGAAGTAGAGGCAGGTCTCAAACCCACTTACTCTGATATTGTAAGTGGGCATCCCAAAGGACATCTGAATTGTTAGACCAAACACCTGTCCCCAAATTATAAACATTTTAAGAGTATAATTTATATGTTTATCCCTAACATGCAGTGCCTGACACATAGTAGGTATTCCATAAATTGCTGTTGTTGTTGTTGGAGGAATGGTTCAAATCACAATGAAGCTACAATCTAAAACCTCAATTGAGTCCTGGTTCTTCCACTTGCCAGGTGTGAAATTTGGACAGATTATCAAAACTTTCTCATTCTCAGTTTCTTAATCTGTGAAACAGAGACTAATACCTGCCTGGCAGTGCTTTGAGATGAAAATAATACATAGATCATAAATATTAACTCAATGAATTTTGGAGTGAAGATTTTAACATCTCCAAAACTAAGCAGTTTAGGGGAGAAAAATTCCTTATAATGCCCTTTTTGGTTCTTTGACTAGTCTATTAAGTAAATGAACATAAAACAGATGAAAAGGAGAAAAACCTTTTTAATTACATATGCACATATGGTATTCCCATAGAAATTTGAGACTCAAGATAGCTTGATGATTGAGGAATATATGTTATTGTGACCTATCAGATTAGATCAAGTGAATAAGAGTTTGGGGTTTCTAAGGGATGGATGAGGCAAACTAGGAGAGATATGGGATGTGGAAAATGTAGTATAAATGTTGTCTTTTTATGTAGATAAATTACTCAAATATTGTCTCAGAGTTGCTCTCTTCCTGGCACAGATGAATAAAATTTTCCTATTTTAAAAAGAATTTTTCCTATATAAGTAAACATTCCTTTTACTAAAGTGAAAATTTGTACTCTATTTTATACAGCTAAGGAGGAGATAAATAGCTTTTCTTGTGTACAATTGTTCTTATTTCTTTCAGCTCAGAACAATCAATACGCCAAAATGGTGTTTTCTGGGGGATAGTATGTTCTGAAACTTTCAAAGGCCAGGAGGGAAACTCCTAGGAGTTTAGGGAATTTTTTTTCTTAATTTGAGACATAGAGTGATAGAAGTCACACACACACACACACACACACACACACACACTGAGAGAGAGAGAGAGAGAGAGAGAGAGAGAAAAGAGAGAGAACTCCTGTTCTCTAGTTTACTCTCCAAATGCCCACAAGTTCTAAGATCAAGAATAGGAGCTGGGAGGATAATCCATATCTCCCACAAAGGGGCAGGAATCCAGTCACTTGAGCTATCACTGCTGCCTCCCAGGGTCTGTGTTATCAGAAAGCTGGAGTCAGAAACAAGATATGGAATCAAACCCAGTCTTATTGATGTGGAATGCAGAAATTTTAACCCATGTCTTAACTAATAGGATAAACACTTGCTCAAAATGCAAGGATTTGAATTTTGAAAACATTGTGTGCATTGAGCATTTGATCCAATTGAACCCAGGATTGGAAAAAATCTATTTTTATGATTATCACAATTCTCTTTCACTGGTTTGCTAGACTTACGTTTTTCTGGGCATTTACTGGTTATACATTTTGGGTATTCTAGTGTGCCTAGACAGATAAATGATGGTGAACATGTTGACTAGGAGACTTTTGTCTTCACTAGTTGAGCTGTTTGTCTACAGGCATGGTTATTTTACTTTAACCAAATATCCATTTATCAACCAATCAATATTCATTGAATATTTGAGTATGTGTAGTACTGTTAGTAGTAACTATCATTTTTAAAGCTTTGACTATGTGCCGGCCACCGTGCTGAGAACTTTATAAGCCCTCTCTCTTTTCTCACAGTGAGTCTATGGAATACTGCTGTTATTAAAAGAGAATCTTGAACATGCACTTACCCCAGATCTTATAAAAAGAAATGGTAGAATCAGGATTCAAACCTAAATCATCCTACTCCACAGTCTTCTGTGGTAAACACTTTATTACTTCACTTCCACCAACTTCACTGTCCTTAAATCACATACATCCTGGGCCATTGCAGACAGAAACACAGTAGTGAACAAGAAGAAAAGCAAAATAATTCTTCCTTGCTTTTCCTCCCCCCACATCCCACTATTTTTCAAGAGATAAAAAAATCCTGTTGCAAGTTGAGTATGTGCTGCAATCTTTACTCCCATTGCACAATTTCCTTCTACTGTTGCACAGTCTTGATTCTTGCAATGGTTTAAAAAAGATGATTGTTCATAAAGGACTTGCATCATGTAGAAGTGATATGAACATTTTGGAATTCATAGCCGATTTTGAAATTTATATGCTAGGACAGTAATAGGCTTCAGGGAAGCCCTGAGGTGGTCTGGTCTTGGTATGTGTCAGAAAGAGCCAGGTTGGGATGAACGCCAACAAATGGTAATGCTGTTTTGAAAGTGGAAACCAATTTACATTTTTTTTTTTTTTACTAAAGAGTGCATATGACCTTGTTTAGTCACTACCTTAGAAAGTGGTATGGGTAATCATATTAGCTTTTTGTTTTTAAATTCTATAGCATTTTAACACTTTTGACTGTGTTGGTTTAAGCACTACACTTGATCTTAGCCAAAAAGCCGAGAAGCAATGGTTTAAACAGTAATAAATGAAACATTGTGTCAGTTCTAATTTGCTCACTAAGCTTAGTTATTTTTCCTCTGTTATAGCTGAAAACATTTGGCTAGAATTTCACCAGAAGTGGTCTCATCATCCTGTAAGTAACTGGCCCACTTTACCAAGTAGAAAAGGATGCAATTTGTTAGAAATGTTTAAAATGTTCAGAGATGACTAAGATCCTGCTTTCTGAATTTTGCACCAGATGGCTAGTGTTGTTTTTCCCAGGTAGATTCTTTAGAGCTTTTACCAGTTGTGAAAGAATGATAGAGGTAAGGTGATCTTATAGTATGGACAAGCTGAGGCTATAAATTAAAATATGAGAAGGATCCATACTAGTCTAAGCAAATAAGTAATTATAGGCCTTAGAGTGAACAGTTTTATAGGTCAACATGTAGGCTGCAAAAGAACCAGTACAATACATTTAAAAGCTTACTTTATTTTTTGTTTTGGAAATCAGTAGGTTTTTTAGTAACTTTTTTTAGTGAATCTGGAACTGTGGAGAATAGAATAACTTACTTATAGTCATTCTTTTTCAGGTGAATGATAAACGGTGAATGAAAAATATTAGATGCTAGTACATATACAAAAGAAGAAAAAAACCATTATCAATTTGTATTTATTGAATACCAGTGCTCAGCCAGGTAATTAAATAAGGCATTAACCATTTATCATCCAACCTCAAATCAAATTATATTGAAGATTGTAGAGTTGAGGATTGTAGGTTGGAGTCAATCAAATGCCTAATCCCTGAATTTTTCTTACAAGAATTAGTTACATTTGAAAGATCTCTAGTTAAAGCCACAATTAGGTTCTGTTTTCTGCTTCAGTGTTATGTTTACAAAAAAGAATATACTTTTGAAATGTATGTTACATTTGTGGAGGCATAATTACTACTGTAGGAGGGTTTCTTTTAATATTATTGATCTTGAGATTAATGAAATTTTAGGATATATTTAATTCTTGTGTAAAAAGTGATGCAGTAAAATTGGTTAAGAATATTCTTCCTGATTTTTATTTTATATTTCGTACAATATAACCAAATGCTTTCTAGAATAATTAAGTCTACAGTCTTCAACATTAAAAGAACAAGTCAGACATCAAGAATACATTGTGACATAGGCTAGTTTAAAGGCTCTTCCATTAAATTGAAGTGCTATGAAGAGAGCGGAGTGTCATTTAGAAGAGGAGGCACTCACAGGGATAATGCCATAGAGAGCTTCATGGTTTAACAAAAAATCAGCTTCCATTCACAAAATGAGAAAACATGTTATAATTTGCCAGGGGAGGGAGAAGTAAACAAAGATATTTACTAAAGTATTGGTTTCTAGGATAAATTGATTTTTTTTTCACGTAAATGAGTATGTTAACCAAGGCAAGGTAGTCTAATAGGATTTTATTTATGACATTTTCATATCATACATTAAGTGTTTTAGTGGAGAAAAGCTTTTCTATTTGATGAAGAGCTGATTTGCTAAGGTTTCACAGTAAGCTTATGTTACGTGATTAGTTTTGTTGCTAGACAGCCCTAGTAGCAGTTTTGGTGTGTAATTTGCTTGGAACTATTAAAGGAGCTTTGCTGAAATTTTGAAACAGTCTGAATTAGCCTCAGAGAGTGTTAGGTGTTGCTATTTTAATGAGTTAAGGCTTTGAGTTTAGAATTAAGGTTAGTGAAACCAAAATAATTTGGTACTTTGGGAAATGAAATCTGTTGAACAAAGTCAAGAGAAATTTAATATTCACTGTATCTTTTCTGGCTTCCTAACCTTCACCCAACCTATATCTTAATTTTAGAAATTTTTTTTTAAAGCGCACGCTACGGCACTTCTGCTAAGAAAGACTTCCTCGGTTTAAATATGCTGTCTTTGCTTTCTTTCTCCCACCCAATGAAGCTATGGGCACTCGGTTAAGAGGCTGGTCAGGGAGCATTTTTAATTTCTTTCCCAACATATCATCCCTACTCCTGGCTTGTTACTCTGCAGGCCAGCCTAATAGCTTTTATATGGTTTTCATCTCTGTAACCAAGCCTTTGGACTGATGCTTAATTTAGACTGTTTTTCAATTCTGACTTTGCTAGGAAGTTTCTTTGGTCTTTTCCATCTTCCTGTTTTGAGAACTCTGACCCACTTAACTTATCCTTGGGCTCAGCTCCAAGAATTGCAGCTGGCTGGTCTTTGGAAAGTCCAAAGGTTCTCTCTGGTCTGAAAAGATTTCCAGGTAGATCTTGGTCCTGCATGGTCTGTAACCCCATGCTAGAGTACTTTTAATGTTAGAGTCATTGTTATGTTCCATAAATTAAAATATGTTTTACTCCATTAGTTTCTTCTTGGGTTTATTTATCACTTCCCCCTATCCCCCTTAGCAACAGTTGTGTGAATGACAGGCTATCTGCTTGCTGCTAGCCTGGGATTGTATTGTTAAAAAGTTGAAAGCACTATGTACAAGGGTTATGCTTAAATAAGACCTGTGAATATGCTAAGATTCTTGCTTTCAAATTACCTAATCATAGTGCCGAATTTTCTTGTGAAAAGGAAAAACAGAAAACAAATATTGCCCAGGCCATACATAAAGTCATTTCCCCATGACTATCACAATTTCTAATGATAAAAGTTTGATGTAAAGTGATCATTTTACTTTATTATTATGAATTATATACCACACAAATTTAGACTAAATAGTCATAAATGATTTGTTTCTGGATGCCTGTAGCTTGAACTATGGTTTCATTCACATGAACTTGATGAATGCTTTGTTTTGATGTGAATAAATAAGGGAAGAACATTCAGGTTTAGAGATAAAAATCATATAATACTTGATACATGGTGATTCAGACTTGTGAGTTAAGGCTTTTATTTCTAATAGTGCCCTATCAGTGTGTAAATCCCTCAGTACTCTGGTATCTTGGTCTATAAACTATTGGTATCTTAATGAGGATTCACTTCTCAAATTGTTTTCCAACATAAGATTTGACTCAAGTATAGTGGAACACACAACTGAGAAGTTTTGAACATAGTGTAAGGAAAAATGTTGACTTCATATTTTATACTTACCCTTTCATTCTCATTTCATTGCGTGTACTGAAAACATATCTTTTATTATATTTTGGGTTTTCTTCAGTATATGTTTTCTTCTGTAAAAGTTTAAAAATTGTTTAGTGCCAACTGTCAGAAATGGACACAACTCACAAGAGTTTGGTCTCACATAGACAGATTTTTGAGCTTCTCAGTTTGGGTAGGGTTTGGCTTTATAGCAATTCTAATTATTTATTTACATATCCATTTTCTCACTAGAGTATGAATCTCTGTGAACCCCTTTATGGCAGAGAACATGAGGCATCTAGCTTAGCACATAGTCCATAGTACATCTTAGCAAACTTTTTTCCATGTAATTTTTAGAAAGCTATGAAACATTGAGTCAAAGTAATTATACCATTGAGGTTTATTTTTTTATATGAAAAAGTCCTTAGTGGCAAATAAATACACTGGCTTCAAAAATATTCTTGTTCAAAATGTGTTCCTCAACTAAGCTAGCCTCATCTTTAAGTTGGTGGCTTAGTCATTCCTGGAGGAAGCAGCTTTTTACTGTCATATAAATATAATCAGAGCTTGACTGTCCAGCCTTTTGGTATATGATGGATTTCCTCTTTCCTTGAGAGGTGAATAAATTATCCCAACCCATAAATCTTAGTAATCAGTCTTCCTCCTAGTTTTAAGAATTTTCATGATTAGCTCACAGGGGCTCCATTAAAGCAAGATGGTAAAGAGAGATAGGAAAAAATAGAAAGTAAAAATTCAAGTTAAAATGAAAAATGAGGAAAGTGTTGGTAAGCTGGTGTGTGTGCTCAGATGACATATGTGTAACACAATTTCTATGTCATCGTTGTCTTGTGGCCTTTGGACATAGGTTTCCTGAAGGAAGGACCTTAACTGTTGAGTGTTAAGTAAAGTGTCAGCTATCACAAAGATGTGCTTTTGGCTTTCGCCATCAACAGGGTGCTGAGTGGGTGACTTCTGGGGTCTCACTTCATCCCTGTGAGGAAAACAAAAGTCAGATTGGAACAGAAGATATACCTGAGAGATGAGTTGCTCAAGTCCCCATATTGTCTATATATTCACCTATATATTAACACTTGCATTTGGTGTCATGTGGACATGAATGCAGAAAAATGTTTTCATGTGATATCATATACTTTCTATACTGCAAAGCTTATTTCTCAGAAATAGGAAGAATCTGAAATATAAATTACATTTTATAATTGTATTCTATATACATTTGATTGCTTTGATGTAGTGCCCAAATCCATGACACTGAAGATGTCGGATTTTTTTTTTAATGAAGGATCACTTAGGTGTTTTCAGTGGTCACTAATTTATTTCTGACAATATGAGGATTTAGCTAAAGAAAAGGAGTTTTAATTGAATATGGTTTTTGTTATATATTAAAGTGATATACTTTCATCATTAATTGAGCAAATGCTTATTGAGAACTTATGTGCCAAACTCAGTGATAGGTGTTGGAGGCTGAGATGTTTCTATATGGCCAGTGCTGTGGTGCAGCGGGTTAATGCCCTGGCCTGAAGCACTGGCATCCCATATGGGCTCCACTTCTGATCCAGCTCTCTGCTATGGCCTGAGAAAGCAGTAGAGGATGGCCCAGCTCTGGCCGTTGCAGCCAGCTGGGGAGTGAACCATCAGATGGAAGACCTATCTCTCTCTCTCTCTCTCTCTGCCTCTCCTCTCTCTGTGTAACTCTGACTTTCAAATAAATAAATAAATCTTAAAAAAAAAGAAAGTTTATATCCTCTTTCTCCAAATTCATTTGTCCAAACTTAAGACCTAATGAGATACTGTTAAGAGAGGGGGGCCCTTCTGATGTGGGTAAGTCATGAGAACAGAACCCTCATTAATGGGATTTCTAACCTTATAAAGGGCCTGGGGGGAACTAGCTAGACCCATTGTTGTACCATGTGACCTGTGAGAAATAAATTTCTATTGTGTAAATTACCCAGTCATAGGCATTTACTTAAGGACTAATTTAGGGACTAAGAGAGATGCAGATAGGATAGATTACATTGCTGGCATCTTGGGACTCCAGGACCTCTGGAAATCAGAAACAAATCCCGAGTAACCTTAATAATTTTGTCTGTTTTGGTCACTGCTCTGTCTCTAAGCTTTCAGTAGTGACTCACGTCTAACTGAACCGTACCTAAGAATGTGTTTATTAGTGAGTACTATCTCTGAGGTCATTGTTAGGATAGGGAAAGTACGGATGCTGTGGAGAATCAGGGATGTGTTCTGCAAGGAAGCAGAGTTGGAGCAGCCAAATGACCATAATTTCAATTGTGTTTGTGTGTGTATGTATGTGTGCTTTATATGGAATTTTTAAAAATCATTTAATTATGTCATGTTTCTAATGAAGGAATTATAAACAGGATCTAAATTTTGTTTATTTATTTAATCAAAAGGGAGAGAAAGAGGGAAAGGGAGAGAGAGGGAGAAAGAGAGAGAGAGAGAGAGAGAGAGAGATCTTTCATCTGCTGGTTCATTTCCCAAATGTCTGCAATAGCCAGGTCTAGGCCAGCTGAAGCCAGGAGCCAGAAACTCCATCTGGTCTCCCACATGGATGGCAGGAATTCAAGTACTTATGCCACCTTCTGCTGCCTTCCCAGGCACATTAGGAAGAAACTGGATCAGGAAGTTGAGCAGCTGGGACTCAAATTGGCATTCTGATATGGGATGCCAATGCTGCAAGTGGTTGATTAGCCTGTTGTGACAAAATGCCCCTAGGGCTAAATTTTAGACCATAAACAAATCTATATGAACGGATATCAACCAAAGAGCATATTCAAGCTAATAAATTAGTTTAAAGAAGATTTTGGTGTGTAGTTAAGCTTGTGAATTATGGCACAAGTTTTATTTCTGTATTCCTCACACTTATTTTGATGAATTTTATTTCAATTTATTCTAAACACAGGGCTGAAATCAATACAAGAAATAACATCATTGATACATTTGCTGGATATAATCACAAAACTTTCATATCTTTTTGAGAATTTCAGGTAAATAATGAAAAGGATTTAAAGTTGTAGTGGGGCAAATGTCTAAAAATTGGCCTAATGGTAAGTTTCAATCAGTCAACTGATCAGCAGGTGCTTATTGAGTGTCTAGTGTGGGTAGTAAGTTTTTTAAATTTTATTTAAGTTATACAAGTTTCATATATTTCAAATATACAGATTTAGGAACATAGTGATACTTCCCACTCTACCTTCCCTCCCTCCCTCACCTGCTCCAACACTGCTTCCTCCTCCCTCTCCTATTCCCACTCTTGGTTTTTACAAAGATCTGGCTTCCATAGCCTTGGAAACTCATAACTGGTGCATAGGGAGATTACTGATGCCATAAACAGGAGTGTCAATTGGTAAAGTCAACAACAGGAGTCACTGTGCACTTACTCCTCATGTAGGATCTCTGTCCTTAACGTGCTGTACACTGAGGCTTAATGCTATAACGAGTACTCAAACAGTATATTTCACTTTGTGTTTCTATGGGGGTGCAAACGACTGAAATCTTTACTTAATGTACACTAAACTGATCTTCTGTAAAAAAAAAAAAAAAGAAAAAAGAAATTATCAATTCCCAACTTGACTCTCACTGGGATTAAACATGACAATAGGTCTGATCTGATTTCATCATCATTTAAAAAAAATCATCTATTATTTTTCACTTTATGTTTCTGTGTGGGAGCAAACTGTTGAAATACTTACTTAAGGTATACTAAGCTGATCTTCTGTATATTAAGATAATCGAAAATGAATCTTGATGTGAATGGAAGGGGAGAGGGAGTGGGAAAGGGGAGGGTTGTGGGTGGGAGGGACGGTATGGGGGGGGAAGCCATTGTAACACATGAGTCGTACTTTGGAAATTTATATTCATTAAATAAAAGATTAAAAAAAAAACAAAAACAAAAACAAAAAAAACAAAGATCTGTTTTCAGTTTACTTAATGTAGGGTAAATGTTAACTCTACACTAAGTAAAAGAGTTGAACAAATAGTGTGAAGAAAAAAAAAAAAAACAACACTGTTCCTCAGTGGAAGAGACAAGGGCTGTAAACAATCATCAAATTTCAAAATGTCCATTTCGCTCCAATATATTACATTTTAGGTACTCTATTAGTTAATGGGTGATCAATAGAAGCCCAGATTCCGGAGCTAAGCTACCCATGGAGAATCTCTGCCCCTCCGTGGAGTAAGGGGATTCCTCTATGACTTCCGTTTCCTGGATTTGTTATAAGGATTAAATGAGTCAACACATGGATTGCCTTAAAATAGTGCCTGAAATATAGTCAGGGATATGTAAATATAATTATTTTCTCTATATTTCATTTCCTATAGTGGGCACTAATGCAAGGTAAAGTACAATAGCAGTATATTCTCAGTATTATTAAAATATGGTCATATTTTAAAATACTTTGGACCAATAAGAAGAAAAATTTCACTACCTCTTCTTTATTCATGCTTCTAGTAGAAGTCTGGCAATGTGCTAAGTGTGTTTTAGGTGTTGGAGATGCACAAGAATAACATGTCCCTGCTTATAGTCCATGGCAGGAAGAGGATGAGAAATTAGATGTTTGGTAGGAAGCAATGGGTAGGAGATTCTGGGAAACTCAAGACAGTTAATGTTGCCAAAGCATAAAGTGCTTATGAGGGGAAGAAGGATGGGAAGAGTGGCCAAAGAGGAAGGAAAATAGAGAGACTGCAGCTTCATCAATCTTTCAGATGGTCAAAGTCATTAAAGTGGGAGTTATTCACCTCAGGTCATTGTCAGATAGCTGAAGATGAGTGTTGATGTATGCGATACAATGCATATTCTGCCATTCCTAGCATAGCAGCAATACATAGTAATTGAATGAATAAAATGAAAGCTATTAAAATGAAGACTTGGAGAGCCAGTGTTGTGGCACAATGGGTTAATCCTCCTCCTATGATACCAGCATTAAACATCATGAATGCCATTCTGAGTGTTGGCTGCACCACTTCTGACCAGTTCCTTGCTAATGAGCCTGAGAAAGCAGCAGAAGATGGCTCAAGTCCTTGTGTCCCTAAACCCATGTGTGAAACCAAGATGAGTTTCCTGACTCTTGGCTTCAGCTTGCCCAAGCTCCAGTAGTTGTAGCCAATTGTAGCTCATTTTTAAAATTTTAATCTATTTGAAATCCAGAGGAAGGAGAGAGAAATCTCTTCCATCCACTGGTTTACTCCCCAAATGCTACAATAGTCAGAGCAAGGCCAGGTAGAAGCCAGGGTCTCTCAGCCATCTGGGTCTCCCATGTGGGTGGCAGGAGCCCTGGCACTTGAACCATCATCTGATTCCTCCTAGTATGCAGTAATAGGACACTTGATTGCAAGAACAGTAGCTGGGACTCAAACTGTCACTCCATTATGGGATGAGGGCGTGGCAAGTGGAGTTTCACCCCCTGTGCCACAATGCCTGCTCCTGAGCAGAATCTTTACATTTATTTAAATGACTTGATTTTACTACTTGAGCTCCTATGATCCCTGGTGAGATGAGCATACCACAGTAGCTGTTACACTTTCAACCTAGGTTGCAGAATTAGCAGCTGGAAACTGACTAGAGTCTTGTAATTCAGCTTGTTTCAGCTCTGTCTAGCCTATATCAGTTGAAATACAGCTAACTTACACCCATATGAACATGAAATGAATGGTTAGTAATGATAAGCACAAAGATTTCCAGGTCATTTGTTCTACAGCAAAAATGACTTCTATTGCATAAATGAAGTCTAAAAGATCATATCATACTTCAATTAAAATCAGCCCTTGTTCATTTTTAAATAAAGATTGATTTCACTATTATTATTATTTTTTTTTATTTGACAGAGTTAGACAGTGAGAGAGAGAGACAGAGAAAAGTCTTCCTCCGTTGGTTCACCCCCAAAATGGCCACTACTGCTGGCACTGTGCCGATCTGAAGCCAGGAGTCGGGTGCTTCTTCCTGGTCTTCCATGCGGGTGCAGGAGCCCAAGCACTTGGGCCATCCTCCACTGTACTGGATACAGCAGAGAACTGGACTGGAAGAGGAGCAACCAGGACTAGAACCTGGTGCCCATATGGGATGCCGGCACCGCAGGTAGAGGATTAACCAGGTGAGCCATGGCACCGGCCCCATTTCACTGTTATTTTGATTAGTTATGGCTATCTTCAGGCAATCAATTTCTCAGCATCAGGATGGTCCTGAAAATAAAGGAAATTGACTCAAGCTGTTAGGTTGGTAGAGTAGGAAAGAACTAACCAACCAACCAACCAACCATCCAACCATCCAACCATCCAACTAACCAACCAACTAACCAAACAGCCCCATTGTCTATTCTTTCAAGATCTTAAAGATGAGGAAATGGAAATGCCTAAGAGGTTAGGGAGAATCTCTGTATTTGACTAATTTTAATTTTAATTAAGTGTCTTAGACATAATTTCCACTAAATACTAATATTTTTGGACAATATCAATAAGTATGAAGTTGAAATTTAGAAAGTAGATTCGGAATACAATTCATAGTCTGGAAAAGATTATAATATTACATTTGGGGAAAGATTTTTAAGATTAGAGAAAGTCTCTCTGGAATAAAGTTGTTTCTTGATTTTAAATAGCAACTTTTCAGAAAAAAATAACTCCTAAGAGGTGCATTTCCTATAATTATTATGGTGTAGTCACAGGTTTCCTAAGTCAGTATTGAATTGTATTCTCAGGAAACATGAGATAGCATTCCTTTCACTGGCACATCCTGCCACAAAAGAGGCATTTAAGCTGTCGGGAAATGTTTTGTGGGATATTTAGTGGATCTATAAAAAAGTAGAGTTGTATGAGGTACTGGATATACTAATTAGCTTGATTTAACCAATCACAATATATGCATATACCAAAATACCTCATTGTACACTATATGTGTATATATATATATATACACACACACAGACACACATGCACACACACACACAAGTTTCATTTGTGAATTATGCCTTAATAGAGTGAAAAGGAGGGCTGTATCATGTTAGTTAAGCATTGGCTTAGAGCAGTAAATGCATTTACTACACGTAAATTTCTTGTCAACAGAGCTTTTCCAAGTGGTCTCTTCAAACGAGCCAAAAGCTTTTTTCAAGCACTGATGGGAATTTCCTCTGGCCATAAAATGAATCTATAGCTCAGTTGAATTTTTGTTCAGAAAACGGAAGAACCAAAATTGAGATGTCAACATTTTCTGTTAATAGAGCTTCAGGTATTGATTAAAATTCTGCTGAAAAAATTTCACAAGCAAACATATATGCACACATTACTCAAAGCTTAGCACAAATCAACTCTGTTTTAGCTCATCAGATGTTGGCAGGCATACATGACAGGGAAGATATTTTCTTAAAGTAAGTTAAAATTATATGTGAGATTAGTGCAATGTAACCAAAGAAAGGGATTCTGGATTAAGTTTGCCTGGACTATATTGTGGATTTCCCCTCCCTTTTAGTTAGGTGACTATATTTAAACTTATTGAAATCTACCTCCATGTCTGTTAAGTGGAGATGACAATAATACCTATAACAAACGACTGTGAAAATAGTAAATGAGCTAATAAATGCAAAGTAGGTAACACAATGTCTGTTGCATAGGAAATACTCAATAAATGTTGGCTAATACTCATAGATTTACATGACATATTACTGAAAGCTTAGAGGCAAGTCAAATACATCTAAACTGCTGTCCCAACATATTTTCTATTCTTACTCTCAATTTATGTATATTTTATTCAGAGCCACTCTTCCTTGAATGAAAACACTGGGTCCAAATATGCCTATAAAGAGCCTCACTTCAATTCACATCATATGAAGCTATTTATTAGAAAACTTGGTTTCTCAAACATTTTGAAATTTTGAATTACTGAGAAGGACTGGAGATCTGTTTTTTTTTTTTTTATTTTTCATGAGCTTTCTGTTATCCTTTGTGTATTCAGTCACACAAGCATTATTTGTAAGACCACAGCACCAAAAGCATAGCATGGTCTCTCTTCTTCTGCTATAACCCTGTGAACCACACTGTGGCTGTGACAGAAACACTTGGTGTTCACTGGACATCCATGTGCTTCCCTGCGTTTCCCAGCCTCCTTCCTGTCCACTTTATTTTGAGCAATGGAATATGAACAGAAATGATCTAAATGTCTTCCTGTCCAAGCACTGAAGTGACGTGTGCCTCCTTCGTACCTCTTTTCCCCTATTGTGGAAACTCTGGAAGACGTGACTTGAGATGAAAGATGCCACAAGTTGCAGGGAGTGTAGCTCATTGGGTCACTAAATTGAGAGTCTTGAAATCTGTATAAGATTTCATGCTTGGGAAAAATATTTGCTTATGTTGTTGCTGAGATGTTGAGGTTTTCTATTGTAATAGCTGATACCAGTTACTCTGAACGATGAAACAATGGTCAAATTAGAATAAGATGAGTTAAGGTTATTTAATGATGCTTCCGATGATGATGGACACAGACACAGACACACACACACACACACACAGAAATGTGTAACTTGCAACCCTAATAAACACAGGGCCGCCCATCATCTTATTTCTCTATAGAATTATATGCAAAATGTAGTCTAAAGGCCAAAATAATTTTATAAGATATTTTAATCTTTTACTTGGGCTTCTTGAAGAATAATAGAAGGAGTCCAAGTGATCTCTTCAAATGGTTCTCCTCTGAAATTCTTATATGCATTGTTGCAGTAGACTGCAATGTGATGTATACTGTAAGATCATATTTTTCTGATGGCTTTTTTTCATGTCAGAGTGTGGAAACAGATTGGTCAGTTTACTCACTGCAGCTCATCAGATGGTTGCTTAGACATTTATTATTCTCACAGACCTTCATATTAATCTGGAAGCTCCAATGTCCTTGGTTATGTCATGGATATAATCACACATATGCACATACACACACACATCTGTGAATGATTTCAGGAAGTAGGTATGATACATGAAAGTCTACGTATATATCTTTGATACTGTCATGTATCTCACACTGAGAGAAAGCAATAATTCATACTTAGGACACACATTGAAAACAAATTCTGGTTCCAATTCAAAGCAAAATTATCCATAGTTCTTCATAATCAGGAAAACATATTTAGAAGTTAAATAAACTTTAAATCCTGTACCTAATGTAATCAGTGAAGAGAGTATGTAAGACTGGAGGAGATCCATGCCACATGGAGGTAATAACAGAGAGAATAATAGGAGAAAATGGGGCTAGACTTTCTTCACCCCTCAGGAGCATATGAGGAGAGTGCAAGCCAGATGACACAGGAAATCCCCTCATATCCTCTGTCATTCTCAGCTTTTGCTTACTGCTTCCAGATTCCATTACTAGACTCTTGCTCACATCCTTAGAGGCAATGTCAACTTATTAGCTCTTTGTTATTTCAAGGGTAATATTATATAGCCCTCATCTCTCCTATGACATTTTTGTTACATCTTGATAGCAGGTTAAACATATATTCTTACATAAACAGCTAAACAGTTTCATATAATTAAGAAGCAACATGACTTTCTTCATGAACAAAGTATACTTAAGACAGTGAAGAGAAATAGATGAACCTGGGGCCTAGAAGATATTATGTTATGTGAAATAAGTCAGACATAAAAAGATAAGTATTGCATGATTCCACTTACATAAAGTATCTGGGTAGTCAATTCATAGAGATAGAAAATGGAATTGTTGTTACTAAGGGCTGGAGGGAGGAATGAGGAGTTATGTTTAAAGGGGTACAGAGTTTCAGTTGGAGACAATGAAAAAGCCCTGAAAATGGGTGGTGGTAGTGGGAACACAATAATATGAAAGTGCTTAATGCTGCTGAGCTGTATTAAAATGGTTAGAATGGTAAATTTTATATTATTATTATGGTACTTCAAAAAATCATGAAAAATGGATTTAAAAGTAAGAGTTTATTTGGGGGGTTGGCATTGTGACACAATAGGCTAGGCTGCTGACCAAATGCCAGCATCCCATATGGGTGCTGGATTGAGTCACAGTTGCTCCACTTCCAGTCCAGCTCCCTGTTAATGTGCCTTGGCAAGCAGAGAAAAATGGCCCAAGTCTTGGGCCCTTGCACCCATGTGGGAGACCTGGATGGAGTTCCATGCTACTGGCTTTTTTGGCCTTGCCTAGCCCTGACCATTGTAGTGAACTAGTGAATGGAAGATTTCTCACTCACTTGCTCCCTCTTTGTAACTCTGCTTTATAAATAAATAAATAAATCTTAAAGGATTTTATTCTGGTGAAAAAAATTTTGGTGTAATTTTTTTACTTTTTTTTTTTTTTTTTTTTTGACAGAGTGGACAGTGAGAGAGAGAGACAGAGAGAAAGGTCTTCCTTTACCGTTGGTTCACCCTCCAATGGCTGCTGCGGCCGGCGCACAGCGCTTATCTGAAGCCAGGAGCCAGGTGCTTCTCCTGGTCTCCCATGCGGGTGCAGAGCCCAAGCACTTGGGCCATCCTCCACTGCACTCCCGGGCCACAGCAGAGAGCTGGACTGGAAGAGGGGCAACCGGGACAGAATCTGGTGCCCTGACCGGGACTAGAACCGGGTGTGCTGGTGCCGCAAGGTGGAGGCTTAGCCTATTGAGCCGCGGTGCTGGCCTATTTTTTTTTTTTCATAATACATGAAAAATGTGTATTGTGAGAAAACCATGCATGAAAAAAAATTTGTGTGAAAGTAAACTCATACTTATACTTCTATTTTCCAAGAATTTTTGAAGCACTCTCAAATAGCTTCCATACAAAAAAGACCATGAGGGAGTCCAAGATGGCTGAATAGGGAAAAGATGGGCTGGTTTTGACCAGGAGAAGGTAACAGAAAAGTGGAGAAAGTGCGTTCCCAGGGGAAAGCTGGAGAGACGCTTGCAGTGGAATTCTACAGAAATAAGAGAGATGCCATGGAGCAGCATGGGCAATACAATCATGCAGTAGCAAGTGGCGACACCATGGCAACTCCTGCAGTTGGGGGCTGGAGGAGACCCCAGCTTTCAAGAGTGAGGTGAGAGCAGACTGCGGCAGCCCCTGCCACTGATGATATTTCCTGAGGGAGAATCTTGCAGAACACACTGACTTTAAGTCT